CAACGCTTTTGTACCCAAATACAAATGAGTGAACTAAAATGTGACGATCAACCCTTGCCAAAAAATAACAGTTATCGCTTAGAAGACGCTATGAAAATTAGCAAGCCCGTTTTCGAAGAGGATGATGATGATTTCCAAATGAGCTCCGATGGCATGACACCTCGCAGCGACGAACACTTGCACCACAATAAATATGGTGGTACAACGATGCGTAGTTGCAGCACCACGCGGGGAGGAAACGGAGGTGGAGATGCCTAATATTACAATAGAATAATGGGTATTTACCTGCTGTTCTTTAATATATAATAATAAGTACAGCGAAGGAAGACAAAGAAGATGAAGAAGGAAATTACAATGAAAACAAACAATTAGTATATGTACATAAAATTGTATGTGAATAATATACATAGTAATACGCTATGGCATGTGTGATCATTAAAAATCCCTAAATAATGGAATTTTAAATGTAATTGTAACTCTAAATTATGCTCGTTTCCGATTATTTATTTCYCAAAGAATTTAAAATTTGTATCATACATATACATATATATGTTATATATATATTTCATATTATAATCTTGAGATCTCCCGTTCTACTTGGAATAAACTAAAATTGTAGCATTTTTTGACCAAGCAGTTCTGAACTTTGAAGATTACTAATGTCATAACCATAATTATCACTGGCGATAGTGTATGATTATTATGCACCAAAACTTTGTTGAAAGATCTAATTATTAAAGCGGAAAACAAAATTTAATTGATAAATGTGATGAAATGATTTCCTAACTGTCAAAAATTTGAGAGCAGATTAAAGAGTTTTAAATTTGTTCTTAACACTAACTGTTCTGTGCAACACATGTATCACCGCACAAGTTTTGATAATACGCATGCTAAGTCATGCCATCTGCGCCGAAGCAAAATGTGATACACTTCTTTACTACATACCTACATATATAAACTGAGTTATACACGTACATATATAGTAAGTACAGCGAATTCAACTCTTAATCCTAGGTATTTATTTTAATTAATTAATACATTAACTTTGTATATTGGTGGTATTTACAAAGTTGGAACAGGAAACGAGTGATTCTAGGTAATGTTTCTTACTTATCTACTTAAAAAGCATTTGCCAGGTCTAACATCGAAACGCGCATCACATTCAAGAGCAGTTGGACCAACCGTTTAAGCTTAATCAATGTCAATAAATGTCCTTTAACAGAAAAACACATACACATTATATTCTGATTTGCAATCGTATTTAAGAAAAAGCTTTCTGTTAATGTTAAAAATGCCGTTGGAAAATTTATAAAATAAAGTATGAGCTTTTATTTTCTGTTTAAATTGTTATATTAATGCCTACATATGTATATATACGTATATGTATATACTGACGGCTGCTACACTTAGTACTAGTTTACATGTTATTTCTCTGTGTACGTACATAAGCATTAAGTAATAACCAGAAATGGTGTTAACTTTAACAATCTTTGTGCTTTTAGATACCAAAATTAAAGATGACGCTTATGTGGACCATTCGTCTTCCACAAAGGCCATTTGTGGATTTCTCACATGGATTTCGTGACGCAGATATATTTATGTTGCTATTAACAAAGCTTTCTCTTTGAAAGGACCGCAGCATGGTAGAAAAGCAAAGGCAGAAAGTGTCTATAAATTTGTAGCTACAGCGGCTACATTGGCAGTAGCATCAGACGCGACCAATTGATTTGTTAGTATGTCGTCGCCTTCCGTGAGAGCAACACGTTCGATTGGTAGTGTTAAGTGATGTAAGCAACAAACGTATGGACGATAGATAAGCACATACAAACTTACGTTTGTCGTGGCAATTGGTTTTTCGTGTCCCGTGAAGTGTTTTCTATGTACGAGATTAAATAAGTGTATTCTGCAAATAGTGCAAGCATCATATATTGGAAATATATATGTATGTATGTACATATATACATACATATGCATAAACGCTTATCCGTGTATGACCGCATAATTTCATACATAAGTATGTTCGTGAAATGTGTATTCAAAAGCGTGCACCGAAATCATTGAAGAACCGGTAAATCATAACTTCCCTTATTATAGGCAAATAAGGTATTAGTTGAAATTAATTGTTTTGTGATAAAAACATTAGTGTTTTAAAGCAGAATATTTGTATGACACTTACAACGTGTTGGATTATTGTACATACATATGTACATACATAGAAATGCATATTTAAAAACAAGTTTTATGGCTAAACTAAATTCAAAAGTTTTACGCCGCATCATAATGAGTACGCATACATACATATATCTGTACTTATGCACTTATTTACATAGTATGTACATACGTGTATGTATAACTGCAACAATAAATGGAAACCAGCGTTATAAGATTTTAAAACGGGGTGTACCAGTTTATGTATATGTATATGGCAAGTGATAAGGAAAGTGGTGATAATATATACTACATGATATAAATATCTACTAATTGGGAGTGTAATATCAGAGATTTTTGCTTTGTTTTCTCATTTGCTAAATTACTTGCAAATACTATATTATACATACGTATATATTTAGATATTTTTRGGACAGAGAGTTATAGGTTTATAAWATGAATATATTTTTAAATTGAAAAAATGCAACACTTTTTAAAACTTAAAATATTTATTTTCCAGCGCACTCGTTTCATCTTCCACGATTTTCAAAAGCAATATGGTAACGTGTACAATGAATGCTTGTCCATACATATACATATGTATATGTGTCAAAAATTATCTGTTGAMCGAACGGATAAATAGGATTGCGAAGCACTAAATATGCATTATGATTTTTGAGCCATGGATAACCCTTCTTACACTGTTGACATACTAATAACTTAATAGCGMATTGTAGGTCTAATAATAATATTGTATGTGTAATAACTATTCAAAAAATGCAACCCAGTACTGTTTAAATCTTAAATTCTTAGCATCACTATCTATATATCGTCACGTAAAATGAAAAATAACGTATCATCAAAAAATCAAAATTGAGTATCCCATTGATTACGATTCACTACTTCAAATTACATTCATAATATTACATATGTCCAACATTTTCAGGTTCTGCGCTCATATATGAACCATTTTTAACCAATATTAAACATTTTTCACTCTTGTTCCATTTTATTTCGTGTTTCATTCAGGCCACTGTAAATTTTCAAAAATGTCCTTACGTTATTTTGCATTTTAGGTGGCGATATGGAGTTTCGTATACGAAAAGAGGATGAAGTAAAATTGTAGAAGAGGTGCATTAATTCTTTAACGATTTGTTTACTTTTCTTGTCGGTTAACAATCAATTTAAATATATGTATTTACTTAACTTGTATTAAAACATTGAAACATTTGTGAACTCTAGTATTATCTTTTAAATTACCTCATTAAACAAAACTTTAAACTTATTTTACTCCATACATTTTTTGCAATACCTATTTATAAAAGAGTACAAAGTGTTAAAAGTTCTTTTTCTTCTTTACTGATGTAGACACCGCTTACGCGATTATAGCCGAGWTAACAACAGCCAGTCGTTTCTTCTTTTCGCTACGTGACGCCAATTGGATATTCCTAGCGAAGCCAGGTCCTTTTCCACTTGGCCTTTCCAACGSAGTGGAGGTCTTACTTTCAGAGCTGGAGTGTTTTCGTCCATTCGGACAAAATGACCTAGCCAGTGTAGCCGTTGTCTTTTAATTCGCTGAACTATGTCAATGTCGTCATATATCTCATACAGCTCATCGTTCCATCGAGTGCGATATTCGCCATGGCCAACGCGCAAAGRAACATATCTGCCAGACTGACATTGTTGGTGAYATTTACGCTGGTTTCAAGATAGACTAAATTATCTACGACTTCAAAATTATGACTGTTARTTTGATGACAGGAGATATTTCGTCTTGCTCTCGGTCACTGACCCATTTGTTTTGCTTCCTTGTCCAGTCTGGAAAAAGCAGAACTAACGGCGCGGGTGTTGAGACCGATGATGTCAATATCATTAATAAGTTAATACTTGATTAAGTTCTGCAGCTCGAATTATTTTCTCCAGCAGCAGGTTGAAGAAGTCGCACGATAGGGAGTCGCCTTGTCTTAAACCTTTAGTATCGAACGGCTCAGATAGGTCCTTCCCAATCCTGACGGAGCTTTTATTSTTGCTCAACGTCAGTTTACACAGCCGTATTGGTTTCGCGGGGATACCAAATTCAGACATCGCGGCATAAAGGCAGCTCCTTTTCGTGCTGCCGAAAACAGCTTTGAAATCGACRAAGAGGTGGWGTGTTGTTGATTTACCAGGTCTAAAGCCACACTGATAAGGTCCAATGAGTTTGTTRACGTTAGGCTTTAATCTTTCAGACAATTACATATATGGTTTATTTATGAGTTATAAACCCATAATTTGGCTAGTTGTGGGAGTACACGTACGTTTCAATAAGTATCATTGTATTGGGATATGATTGATTGATAAAGAGCTATAAAAAGTGGTGAAAAAGTGGTTCTTGTGAAATAGCCATCATGTATGCTCCGCGTTATTTCAGCTTACTGCATATCACAAAAAACCAGGATTTAAGAAATATTTCTATTATTAAGAGAACATAAGGATMCATCCATTTCCTCCATTACGTGGAGGTGAGCAAAACACATCGCCTAACTTTCCATTGGTTCTGCTTGTACATATGACCAATATTTACGGTATGATGTCATCCGAAAATCAATATTTAAAATTGTAATGACCTATTTATTATATACATGTCTTAAATAAGATTGGCATAAAAAGTCARACGAACGCAATTAATTGCGTTTCTAATGGAATTAAAGATTCTTATAATTCTTTAGTTTCAAAGTAAAAGATGCAAGAAAACACGTATTGTGCATGAAAGGAAATGTTCATCTTTTACTTAATTTTATTTTTGGTTAATTAATCCTCTAAATATTATGATTACATAATTGAACTATTAGTACTATAATGTAATGTACATACAATATTTTTTAATTGTACATGCATGTACATATGTACATGTATTTCATAAAAATCAGATAATAAAAGAAGAAGGTAATTAAGCCGTCGCTAAATCAGAAATGGATGTGGATATGGCTAGATAATAAGGATGTGAATATATTTCCGACAGAAACTAACGGAGAGTTTGAGTTTCTTTCGTTGAGATTGAAATTTTAAATTATTTTGAATTTATTTAGCAAACTATAACATTTCTACTTCTTCGTTGTTGACAGTCCTACTTTATTTATTTATCGAATGTAAATAATCGTTTATATGTAAATACAAGTTATATRAAAAACTTTTTTTTACTTCTTGCAGGGTTMTTAATTATGTATTATWGGTTTGTGTCAGTTCAACATTTTATGCTGTAACTCTACTCCCAGTCTGAAACGTAAACCCAAAAAAATGAARTGGCAAATTCAAAATTTTAACTTTTAACTAAATTTGCAGTGGGATCTGCGACGACTTTCATTTTTCCTTTTTCGGAGAAAAACATTGAATTAAATCCGCAAGTCTCTAAAGAAAGACAAATTCGCAATTCACGATATAACAATGAATAATACTTATATATGTATTAGGCTATGTGATGGGTGGTATTAATGTTCGTTTGTATACAGTGGAGCCTGCAGTTGTGCTGGCCTACGAGCATATTCCACAGCATTTCATTACTGATAATTCAGCAACGACAAATTCGAACATAAGTGCCGCTCTTATTGCTGCGATTGACAGCCCAAATAGCACTGCTAATGACTTCAATTACGTAGAAGTTAGCAATAGCAACACTCCTGCAACAAGCTCTATCGTTTCACTAAGCAACTTTACCTACTCTCACTTTATTGCGGCTGTATCTCATGCTGTCCTTACATCTACACCACCGACTTTGTCAATGGCTTCATTCGATATTCATCCAGTTTTGATTGAGCAAGATATTTCTTCATCATTTAACGGCGGCAATAAAGTTTCGGAGGAAGTATTGGGAAATAATTTGGGACCATCAACAGAGACGACAGAGAGTGTAGGAAATGATAAACTAAATTCGTTCTATTTTTACGAGGTGAGTGACGTACATACATACATTCATCTTTACTATTATTCTAATTTGCAACGTTTACCCGTTTAAAAGTATTTACGTTTGTGCATTAATATAATTACAACTATCACATAAGCAACAAATAATCTTTTTCGAACAGTTAATTTAATGGCAAAACCGAAAATTATCGAATAATTTGATGAATTCATAGTCATATCCAATAGTAGATCGAAATAATTTTATTAGGAATTGTGCGTTAAATATTATTGTCTTTTGACACTAACTTATTTCATCGAAATAGCATTCACATTCACATATCCACCTATTCAAACCACGACCTTGCTTTTCCTTTATTTTACTAGAAACTTGTATCGTTGATGTCTTTTATTTTCCAACGAAAGGAAGTGTATAGAGTATGAATGGTATACATATTCGAATACGTTCATTTAACATACCAAGAATCGTAGTATGACATGTGCAGGCAGTGACGTCAAAGATGTAACACCGCAACAGGATTTTATACTGATACATCCGGCCACGCGATACTGTGGCTATGGTATACAATGAATACTATTACAGTAAACTAGTATAATAAATAATTCAATAAAGGAAATATATGATTTATCAATGAAGACGAAAAGCGTTATTGCCGATATAAAAATCCAAGAGACGTACTTGAGGTTTAATTTCTAAATTGATTTCAGTAAATTTTTGTCAATGGAAAAATAATGATAATGATGAATGATATGAACTTTCCGAATGGCAATCTAATCAAAATTATTACTTTTTTAAATTCAAGTACAAATTACGTGTTCATTTTGTCTGGCGTAAGCTGCTTAGCTATTGAAGCGATTTTAGTGAAACTTTAATCCAGTTTAATCTACCTGAAAAGATTGAATAGTTTATATCTCACTTATGTTAAAAAGGCAAACAATTCGCAATTCTATTTTTAATAACATACTTTTCTTCGCGTACGCCAAATTACATTAAAATCATYTTCAAATGAGATTTATGAGAACATAAAGGCTAAATTATTATCTTGAGTTTAAGTGTGTTTAAATGAGTTAAGCATCCACCCCCTCTACCCGGTAAAACTGGTGCATCCTAATGCAACAGCGCAATTCACCACAGTTGATGTCAATTCAATACAACTCACCAAACCTGTACCCCTAGCCACTAAACAAAAAGGATGGACAACAGGATGGGAAACACCATTCGATSTATACAAGCCGCGCATCAACATTCGCTTCTGAACGTCAACGTCTTGCTCCTCTAACGCGATTTTCCAGTTCCGCGGCATCTTGATCGCCAGCATCGGGAAATTATTTCTCGGAATTGAAGTCTCACCGCTTATCCCATCTATATTTATAATCCGTACGCATTTTTATTTACTAAAGTGAAAGTGATTAGTACTTTTGTTTGCAAATTTGGCAGCAAATTGTTCAATGTTGAAACGTCAACCAGAGAATCGGAATTCAGACAAATGAGGCTTAGACTCCAGACCTGGTCCATTCATATTCAGCGCTAAACCATTAATGTAATATTTAAGAAGCTGTCTTTACTTCATTTCATAAAATATCCTGGGAGAGAGAAAGGGCTATGCTTGTTGCATTAACCTTTGCCATTGCCCTGCGCGCTGATCGACATATGTACATATTGGGCATAAGGCTTGTTAGAAGAACGAAAATATTTATAATGCATTTCATATAAAATAATTTCACAAATTTTTGGCATTAAATAATAGGTATACGTAGTATATCCAGAATTAACCTTTATATGCGGTATAAAGCCGACCAGATGTTTGAAAATCTTAGGAGATAGGGGTAGTATTGACCCAATTTTATATATATATTTTTTTTTTACTACTACTTATTATAAACAGAAAAAGATGATATATTGACCCGATTCCATCAATTTATTTTATTCAAAATAGTCTCCTCTGCTTCAATACAGCTTTTCACACGGTAAAAAAGCTTGTAGAATGAGTGTTTTAGCTCATTGGACGGTATAGCCGCCAGTATGCCGGTGCAAGCATTTTAAAAGGCCCCTACGCCTGCAGAACGCTTTCCTTTCATGGGCAAATACATTTTACCGAAAAGGAAGAAGTCACTCGGTGCCATATCAGGTGGATACGGGGAGTGGTTAATGGTTAAAATATGATTTTTGGTCAAATAGTCCTTGATATGTTGGATTCTGAGCAATTTTTGGTCGTCGCACCCATCTTTTGTAAGCCTAAATGTTCGGTCAAAATGCGATAAATCGATGTTTTGGAGATGTTCAATTCCATTTGCAAGAATTTCAATGATGATTTTGGCTAATCTTTGATGAATTCACGTACATTTCGATGGAATTTCCGGTGATCGCGGATTTTGATTGACCCACATGTTGATCGTCTTTATGTCCTCACGACCACTTTGAAAACTTTGAAACCACGATTCGATTTTGAGACTTTTTAATCTTTAATGCAATTCGTTTTACCATATTACAGTTTTATATCTTAATTTGTGTCTTAGTTATTGCAATTTATAGGTTTTCCATTATTGGGGTTTTGTCGCCGTGGTAATTATGCGATAACGCTCATCTATAATACCGAACTTCTTATGGTACTAAAGTGCTAAAGAGCTTATGTAAATAAAATTTCATCAAGATGTCTTCATTTACACAAATGTTACAGCTTGCACTTACGGCTAGACAATTAACCGGATTTCATCTAGTCTCGTCATCGGATCATTTATATATATGTATGTACATATGCATACAACTTTATATCTATAAAGATCTTAGATGTTACAAACCAATTTTAGCTGAGCAAAATCATTATACTCTGTAGCAGTATGTTGCAAGAGCATAAAAATACTGATGCATGGTTAATCCACACTTTCCCCAAAATCATACTTGAAAATACCTCCCTGGTGTGCCCATCGTTCATACCCCAATAATCTTTATTTAATCAGTGACTCCTGCTCTATGATTTTCTCCAACAACATGCGAAATGTCTCAACGAACTATATAGAATAAAAAATTAATTAATCGTGTTAATGACAATAGTAGTCATTCTGATTTCTACCTTGTCATTCCATCCCATATTCGCAGGGTATTGAGTTTTACATCGCAAACGTTTCTTAATAGAATATGAATGCTTGAGTATAGAAATATGTACAAGTAAAAATAAATTCTACCCCATACGGATTATTATTTTTATTTTCTCTTTAGGGGCTTTTTGCTTTAGGGCAGACAGATTTTACTTTACTTTTTATTTATTTTTTAGGCTGGCAGAACAGCAGACTTGAACAGACTTGAGAAGATGTCACTACACCCTAGTTGCCATGACTACAATTATTCAAATCGTGCGTATATACCTACATATGTATGTACGCGCGACTCAATATATGAATACATGTGTATTTGTGCTTGTAACTGCTGTCGCGGCGTACATATTTACATCTTTAATCTCAACGGCTAGCTTTTCCTTTCATATTTTATTAAAAGAAAGCTTTTCACAGCACATCACGTATTAAACGTCTAAAAATGGGCTTGCGGGCCGTTAAACAATATAATGCTTAAATACCTGCGTTAATAAYGTATACATGTACGGCCACAATATAAATGCACATTTATTTGTAATCATGCGTACATACGCACAGTAGTGAATTGAAAATTATTGATAACAGAATGGAACACAAAATCATCCACTTCTACCAAACTTTTAGCAATTTATTACAGGGTTTGTGCGGAAAGTAACAGAACTGAGTCTATTTAAAAAACTTTATTGAACCAATCGTTACAATTCTTTAAAAACTTTCAAAATAGGCTCCTTCCAAGCATTGAAGGCGTCACGGAAGGCATTCGCAGTCTCCCAGCACGGTCTTCATCAGCGGCCTCTTCCCGGCCCTCCAAAAAGGCATGGTGCCACCGAAACATACCACCTCTGCGTTAGCCTGCTTTATCATATCAAACATCTCTGTCGCAGATTTACCGAGTTTCACACAGAATTTAATCGCGCACCTCTGCTCGAAAGCTGTATTTTCGGCTTGCACCACTCACAGAATCTCCAGGTGCTCGGAGACAATTGACCAGCCGCTCGTTCGTTAGKTAGGAATGTCTAGTCCAGTCGGTGCGCGCACGTTCCAAAGTATAGTCAGCGCGGAAGAAAATCAATCCTATTACTTACCATACAAGCTCTGTATGAATAAATTTAATTACTGATACTTAAAGTATTATAGAAAATTAATTATTTAATTAGTAATTATAAAACTGACATGATGGCATTTATGACTTAATCTCATTTATACATTGTCATTATATGGTTATTTTAAAGGTAAACAACCACATTATGAAATATTTGCCCCATTTCGTTGTGATTTCAGTATACCGTTGGGTCATAATGCTTTAAATTTCCTAGCTTTTTAATATACATTCATACATGGCTAGCTCGTAAAGTTGAGGTAACTGACAATTTTGAATTGTTGCTGGATCGTATATCTTTAAATAACGACAAATGACTAACCTTAATGATGAGAAATATTAAAAGACCAGAAAAAATATTGCGTCGTTTGCTGCACGTACYGGTCTACTTTTGTGGTGTCCTATTGAAAAACCCTATACATACATGTATAGAAGCAATTATTGGAATTAGGCTTTTGCTATAAATCGCCACTTTAATTCAAATTATATACTACTTTTCAAATACATGCACACATACAACCATGCTTAATAATAATTTCAATATTTCCTTTTCCCATACACCGAAAGTCCGAACCACATTCACCATAGGAGAAACAAAGACATTTCTGAAAATTTTGCTATACATTCGTCAAATTAATTTTTTTCTCATTGTTTATTAATAATATTCAAATTTGTTGTCTTTCAGATGGAACAATTCGCAGTCCTGTGGATACTCTTCACTGTTATTGTGCTCGGTAACTCTACGGTGCTTTTTGTTCTTTTTGTAAATAAAAATCGAAAATCAAGAATGAATTACTTTATTAGGCAGCTGGCAGTCGCAGGTAAGAATGTCTTTGATATATTCTACCAGGTAAATATAGATTTTTCTCTATATCTATTAACTTTCTTTAATTTTACTTACAATTATATATAATTTCATAAGATCTTTCTGTCGGTTTGCTTCATGTGCTTACCGACATAATATGGCGAATAACAATTTCATGGAGGGCCGGTAATATTGCTTGTAAGCTCATACGCTTTTCCCAAGTTTGCGTTACATATTCCTCTACGTATGTGCTAGTAGCTATGAGTATCGATCGCTATGACGCCATAACTCACCCAATGAACTTCTCGAAATCATGTGAGTCTTAACTATTTATAAACWATTGATAAATTTATTTGTACAGTAGATGCGCTTTGATTTACATTAACTTCTCATAAAGGGCGAAGGGCAAAGCATCTTGTTACAGCAGCATGGGTAGTATCAGTTATTTTCTCGTTACCCATTTTGTTTCTTTACGAAGAAAAGCTAATTCAGGGCCAGATGCAATGTTGGATAGAACTTGGTTCGCCGGAAGCATGGCAAACATATATGTGCCTAGTGGCGACAACACTATTCATTCTTCCCGCGCTTATCATATCAGCTTGTTATGCGATTATCGTCAAAACTATTTGGGCGAAGGGCTCTATATTCACATCCGGAGGTAAAGTATCATATAGTTATATAAATCATGAATTAACATTTGCGACCTCAGAACGTTGTAATAACAATGTAACTAGTAGAAGAGCCAGCTCTCGCGGAATAATACCCCGAGCCAAAGTAAAAACCGTCAAAATGACATTTGTTATTGTCATCGTATTTATACTGTGTTGGTCTCCATACATTGTCTTCGACTTACTGCAAGTATTTGGACGTATTCCGAAAACGCAAACCAATATTGCTATAGCAACGTTTATACAGAGTTTAGCACCACTAAATTCTGCAGCGAACCCACTCATTTACTGCGTCTTTTCATCGCAAGTATTTCGCACACTCAGGTTAGTGACTCATTCGTGGTCTAAAAATTATAATAGCTTCAGGTTCATTAACACACACTTTTTTGGTTTTTGTTACTTTCCCAGCCGTTTTCCCCCTTTCAAGTGGTTCAAATGCTGTTGCCGTTCTTATTTAAATAGTACTTTAACACAAAGTCGTTGCAGCAGCGTGAGCCGTCGACTTCACTATAGCTGCGATTCAGTGCGAACGTTGACTACTTCGCTCGCCGTATCACGACGCTCTACCAAGCCGTCATCACATGTAGTCATATGTGAAAAAGAAAAGGATCCATTAGCCGTTTCGGAAGTATGATGTCGTGCCCCTTTTAGACCGCATCTTAACCCACAACCYTAATAACATAAGTTATTTTAAAATTGAATTGAATTGTTTGTGATACAAAAATAATAAATTCGTAAATTGTTGTTATCAAAAATATACAAAGAACATAATCCTTATGGCTGATTTAAATAAAACTTTCCTTAATTTCGCTTTGCGAAGTAAACATTGAAGAACATGTCATAATGAACGCTTTGCTTTCCCTGCTACTCTCAGAAATCTACATATTATTTCGTGCATTGATATTTTCATCTTAACAGATTTGCTAACCTGATGTCACATAAGTACGAGGTGTGTTCAAAAAGTATCGCGAATTTTGAATTTTCGCGGGTTACGTATATTCGAATTTCGAATTTTTTATGGCATTATGTTGTTACTCATGTCTCTCACTTATGCCGACAATCTCGGCAATTTTGACATTTAATTGTTGCCAGCTGCTTTGCTTGCACGTGTTTTGGATCGTCTTCGATTTTTACCTATTCAAAAAAATGGATCAAAGAACCTGTATCAAATTTTGTGTGAAAAACGAAATTAAGTGCGCGGATGCATTCCGAATGTTGACTGCGGCGTACGGAGAAGCTACCTTGGACCGAAGCASCGTTTATCGGTGATACAAAATGTTCTCAGWAGGAAGAGAAGATGTGACAAAAATTGGCTTTTGCACCACGATAACGGCCCTGCTCACACATCGTTGCTTGTGGCGACTTTTTGGCCAAAAACAACACACTAATGATGATTCCCGTATTCCCCAGATCTGGCCCCCTGTGACTTTTTATTGTTCCCTAAACTGAAAAGGCCCATGAAAGGACGACGTTACGCTTCTCTTGACGAGATAAAGACGGCATCGAAGCAGGAGCTGAAGAAGATAAAAAAAAAAAAAATTATTTTTTGAAGTGCTTCGAAGATTGGAAAAACCGTTGGCACAAGTGTATAATATCTCATGGGGATTACTTTGAAGGGGACAAAATAGATATTCATGAATAAATAAATAATTTTTGAAAAAAACACAAAATTCGCGATACTTTTTGAACACACTTCGTACATACATATGTGTGTATTTATATCAAAGCATAAAAAGGTGGAAGTTGTTCGCCATTTATGCAAAAGCAAACATCAAATTTCTCTGTCAGAGCAATATTCTGAAGCAAAGCGAAGSAAAAGATGCATGTGAATCAGTCTTCAAAGACCTCTCTTCTTAATTAATATTTATGCTAACATGCCGTGTAGACGCTGATGTACGAAATGCATGGATATGTAAGGAGATACTTGCAAAATATTCTACTTATATAGCTAATATGCATTTTTTTGCATGTATGTATTTATATATATATATATTTAAAATGCTAAACTAAGATAAAATACGCATAGAAGATAAGAAAAACAAATTACAGATGATTTTTTTAAATAAAACTAAATTTATATATGTATGTATATACAAACGTCTGATTTTATTAACGTTATGTCGAGTTTCATTAAAAGCCGCCAATCACCATTGATTAATTTTACTATAAAAAATGTATTTTTGGGCGAAGTTATACATAAGGCAGAGCTATAATATTTATTATTTTAACAGATGGGAATTATTTTAGCTCATTACCAATACTAAGAAAAGTAAACTACCAAAAAATATCGAGATCTAATRCGAATTAAAGATAATGCTAAACAGAAGCATAGCTTGCGTCTCTCTCATGMCTATTTCCGTGCACTTTCTACATGTATCGTCATTACTTATGCCGATCCGGGTCGCATGTGATGTCAATAAGTTGCCCTTTCCAAATATAGCGTGAGAGTATATGTTCTATTTTATCCATCAAATCCGTGCATATTGAGCAGAGCCCACAAATTCATATGGAGAATTCACTTAACACCGCCAATTTTGCAACTGATTTTACTGCAGAGCTTTCCAATTCARTGTCGATCGCTATATTTTTCTATATTTTATTCGTTTTGATTTGCGATTAAATATGTATATACAATTTGTTTTTCTACTCTCGTTGGACATACTTCACGGAGTGCTTTACACAATTCTATTGTTATTCAAAATCTAATTGGGTAATGAGTTAATTGATCGCTTGTATGGTACATTTAGAACAATTAGAACACAATTTTGGAGTTTGCTTTTATTTAAACACACTTCCAATTTTTAGTTGAAATTCTTCTTACAATATTTGAAAACACCTCCTATTACTAAATTCGACGGTTCTCCAGTAAAATTATTTTGAATTAATCCACTGTGAAGTCAATAAAACGGAGGAGGAGATCTTTAAACAAGAAAACAATTAAGTTCTATATTTACCCCTGTATCCAATTGAGTTCAAATTCGGCTCTTACATAGGTCTAAAAGATGAGGGCTATCTTTATTTGTATTTTTTTTTAATTGCAGAGGCCACGCTACTAATATGTTTTAATGTTACATTACATAAACTAAAAAAATGTACGCAAATATTTGAGTTTTACTACAATAAATCCTGTACCAGAGTTCACTTTTCCAACAATTCTGCGCAGATGTAATGCTGATTAACATATGGATGAATAGGCATTTAAAAACCTTAAAAAAGGTGGTAAATGATTCAAATACTATAAACATAAATATAAAAACCATATTTATAACTAGACATATCGGTGTTTGCTATAACAGTAAATAATTGCGTTTAAGGAGTTGCAAAACTCTTTTGTAAGAAACAGAATGAACCATTATTACCCTAGTTATGGATTCTATGCAATTTTACCTTGTATACTTTACGCAATACGCATCCAAGAAAATAAATATTTTTTGTTTCGGGCTCGATATTTGAATATAATATATTAGAGGATTTAAACTTTCGTTAAATTTGGAAGAATCAAAATTATGATAAGTTAAAAAACGAAAACTTCTGCTCCAACACATACATCTACTGGTATATGCAAATTGGAAGAGAAGTCTCTGTCTTTTACCCTGCGACAACAGCTGAAGAATGATTTAAATACACTCGTCTGTATATGTACATACTCGTACAAGGCTCATCGAAATATTCGTAATAAAAACATTAAATCGCCACTTTTGATGCACAGTTAAATATTACTGGTCACGAAATACGGCAATGGATAAAATAGCTGTCATTACAGTTTTACTTTCGGCATGTTTGTTTCACTTGGCCCTGTTTTCACACTAACGTATTTGCCACCTTCTATTCGATTCTCATACTGTTCCATTTTAAAACTGTCATCGACCCTAGGGAGCTCAGGAATTCTGCGATTATTGGAAAACTCAAAGTGGTCAGATTCATTCAACCGTCTAATATTTCGCCGAATTGCCTCATTACTCGGGCTACTAATATTACCTGATAGCTTTTCAAGTAATTTATTTTTAGACTGTGCTAAATTTGTGCAGCTTGTCTGCGATGTTTTAGGTTTTACCTCGTTGTCGGGATCACAATAGTTCCTTGCATTTAACTCATTCTTATAAACATTGAAGTTAATGTTACTATTGCCGCTTCCAGAGAGGCGGCGTCCTTTTGACAAAGCCCTCTCTTTAGCTAGTGATATAAAAGATTCTTCCCTTCCCGCGCAGTTCGGACAATTGCATCTCTGATTCTGTGTACGATCTTCGCTAACTTCTCTCTGAGTCTCGGCAATAAATTGACACAAGCATTTAAACTGTCGTAAACTTTTCTCGCTTTGCTGTGATATTTCTGCAATAAGCAAATATTAAGAGCATTAACTTCTTCAGTTCAAAGTTCAAGTCTCACTGTCTAAAATATCCAAGTACATTTTGCTTAATAAACATTCATTTCTCATCATCTGCGAACACAACGTTTCGACCTTTTCCATTGTATGGACAAAATAATTTCGCATCATGCATTCAACCGAACTCTAATGAGAAACATTAATTATGGTTATGGTCGAATAAATAACATTTTACTCACCTGAACTGTTTCCAATACCGTGTCATGTACAATACTGAGAAAGTCGGCACATGAATTCTGAATATTTTTGCTGCTGAATGGCTCTTCATTCGAATCTTGTTCTGCTTCCTCACTTATTACCTCCATACGCTTCTTCAGGTCCTGGTATTGAAAGTTTTGCTTATTCTTTGTCTGCTTAGGATTCTTAGTTTCCATACTGGGTTCGCTTTCGGCTGGTACATTTAAACGCTTTCCATTTTTAATTTGAGATGGACGTTTATTATTATTATTTTTAGTCATGGAAGACTTAATTGGAGAACTTCTAGACTTAGTTTTTTTGGGAGGAACTTGTACATCCGGAATCATTCGCGTTGGAAAACAATCAATACAGGACCGATTTCGACGGATATTGCAGCAATCACCCATATAATTGCAACAGGGCGAACAAGACGAACAGCAGCAACATTCCGATTGACGCGGGAAGCAACTCATTACGTGTTTAATTTTCAACACTTATTTTATTTCGATGAGACGATATGTAATTTTGGTAGATAGTGGAGAAATAGATTCCCTTACTGAGTGGGATTCGAAAACAAGGCAACGAAATGTTTGATATATTTTCACAAGTTTAAATATTCCAAACCTAATTTAGACATTTTGTTTTGGCAGCAAAATTCGATGACTTTATTACATATATGTATATGTCTAACAAATTTTATTATAAAAAATACTGACAAAAATATCTAATGGGAAAGATCGATTTTAGCGAAAGCAAAATTACAGCAAAAGCAGGTAAATAACGTAATGCTTAAGCATTGGAAAATGTGTAGCTTTATAATGTTGACAAATTAATATCAATAAAGAAATACTTTCTGTGTTTAGTTCAATATTTGTGAGAACGATTAAAATTTTTGTGAATACTCCCAATCAGTATAAATTGTGACGTATAAACGTAAAAAATTTTAATTATATAAAAAAAAATATAGATTATATAATAATAATTATCAAATAGAGTTCTAATACAATTCAATTTAATTATTTTTCCATATAGTTAATCCTAACTAGGGAAACTTCTATACTGCATTCAGATTCTTATTTAATTTTTTTTTTTTTAATAATTTCCCTTAGCTCATACTGCTCTATTACACACTACTTTCACTTTACTCGCAATTCCCTAGATATTATCATATCCTAATGGTGGCAGATTATGGTTGGATTTCGAAGATCTATATTCCATACTTCGTAATTACTCATTTAACTGATTACATCTTTCATTATGTAGTTAACAGCTTTAGTTTTCAAGCCTCTCCACCGCTAATTTCTTCTACATTTTATTCCAATACTGGTTTTGAACAATCACCTTTAAATTGTGATAAGTTATTTAATATAACGCAGGTAAGTACCAGAAACAAAAATCTCAAAATATTTTTTAAATTTTAAGTTAAGAAATTTTAACATTTTGAACGAAAATTCTTAAGAAACTGAACTCACAAGAACCTAATGTACTTTTCCATTTACTCTTTTGAATATTTATATACATACATACATATTTGCTTATATTTCAGACTGTAGCGAAAGTACTTTAAAGTAAAATTTAAACGATTGTACATAGATTTTGAATTGATAATAGTTACGTAGCTTTCTGTGATCCAACATTTCAAGCTTCTCGGATGTTTGGACATTTTTATAGCTCTGCTTTTGGATATATTTGACAAAGAATGGGGCAATTAGCTTTTCATCCACATCAGATATCCTATTTCGGCCAAAATTAAGTGAAGCGATAATTGAAACTACAATGGTGGTAAGAGCACCCAGCATTGTATACAACAGAAAAGAGATATGGTGTATGGCATTTCCATTCTTAACCTCACTGGTATTATTAAGGCAATTAAAAAGAACAAGTTGTAAAATGTATTATCGATGTGTGAACATTTTGACATTGGAAGGAAAAAAAACTACTTACTATTCATTTGTAGAATTCATGTAGCGACTGTTATCATATTCGTAATGACATCCCTCAACGGAAACCGGCAATTCTGTGTGACGAAATGAGCCTATCACAGCCATTTGAGCTTGGATACATATCCAGGCCATGGATTAGAYGGCAATAAGGCGTCCAACAAAAACACTCTGAAAATAATCAAAACTTGTATTATTTTTTCACGCCAGCATAAAAGGTCCAACCTTTTCTGAGATCCATGGCCGTATTTTCACTGATCGGACTTCAAACGTTCGGTTTAATAAAATCTTCCAATAACACTGCTGCCAAAGAGTTTAAAAGAGTTGAAACAGAACTTATTGCAGCACGACTGATACGAAAAGACCTGGAAGACCAGGAAACTTGCCAAACACTTGTATTGCCAGCAATGGAATCAGCTGATCACGAGCCTCTGCAAGCTTTCACAATAATTAAATATTTTATTTTTTAGTAGTATTATTTCCATATCAAGGGGTTTTGTTTTATGTTAATTTGCTCACGCCTGTTGAGATTGTATCACATTTATAACATGTTGCAAATGCTACGAGACCCACATATATGCGACCCAAATAAAGAAAAATTACCCCAAAAATAAATATAAAAAGTGTACGTTTAACAGCTATTAATGATGAGAGAGACATAAACCGTTGAATTGTCAGCTGGTTTATGGAGGTATTCTGAAGCTTAAAAAATGTGCCTCTTACTATAACAGAAAAAATGCTCATGCGAAAGTAATTCTTTCGAATAAAGTTATTGTTACTCTTGGTACTTCAAGATTACTATTCCATTTTCTTACTCTGGAGGATTCAAAGGAGCACCTTCTTGGTTGCGTTGCCACTGATTGTAATGTCTCCTACATCATAAGTACCTTTAATAATTAATGCGACCAGGGAACTATACATGTCCATACTACGCACTTGATACCTCCCTTTTTTCATTAAATTATAAAATCATGTATTAATCATAAATTAATTGAATTAAATCAATTTCTTTTATTATACTAACTACTCTTTTTTTAGAATGTGCATATTGCGATCACAACARGGTTGATTGTGTGCACTCCGATTCCGCTAACTGAAAATTAAATAAATATCTGTAAATAGATATTATATGGGTATATAGGTGAACTATGAWTTCTAACTTTGGCTGAATGTTAGAGCGGGAACATAAATCGCAATAGGCAGCCATATAATCTAAACAATAGAAATTCTATTCTCACCGCTTTAATTACAAATAGAGTAGCAGAAAACAGCATTCTTCTACTTAACCGCATGCCGATGTGAATAATATGAAAAAGCAATTATTTTATATCCTGTGATAATATAAAATTCTATGTATTTATATATTGGTTGCTCAATAGTTATATAACAAATTTAAAGTAATATTAAAGAATTTTAAATAATTTTGATAAATAATATCAAAAGTGGAAAATTTTGAAACTAGGCTAAAAAGTAATCAAGCAATAGATAACGAGAACTATCTCCTAATAAGAGCACAAGAACATTACTGTCACCAAGTGCTCGAAAGATTAGTGGCATTAGTAAGTGCGATAGGAAATCGAAAAATACATTTTCTTCAACAATTCTACATTTATATGTATAGAATATTTCTCAAGGTGAACATATATGTACGTGCGGAGTTCTTCTGCATCATGTGCATTCATTACCCATTAAACCACTTAATGACACTAGAGAGTTGAGTTGATGGGTTGCGTCCGTTACGATGCATGATGCGGATATGGATATTTATGAATTATGAAGACATTAGTAGGTTCATCTAATAATCAAACTCGTTTTGAAAGACAAGCAATTGCAAATTTTAAATTTATTGCCGATATGGAATTAAATGCAACATCCCATTTTAAATTACATTTGTTCAAACGAATTAATGTATATCGTTCCAGATTTATTTACGACAATTCGGTTGTTACTAACACTTCCTATGTCCCAAGCTATTGGAAACACAGTTTCTCTAAATTGGACATTATCAAAACTTAACTACCCTCTACAATGTCCCAATAGAAACTGGAAGGCTTGGCAACTACATCAATTAAAAATAAAGTGGCACAAACTCTTAACATTACAGCAGTTGTGTCTGATTTTTCCAAAATAAAGGCACGAAAATATTTAAATAATTAAAAGATTYTGTATTGTCTTTTTAAAAATGACGTTAAGCTTTTGTAGTACTAGTATTTTTGATTAATTTTCAAAAATTATAAAAATTAATTAATTAGGCTGTTGCCTAGGGAAATAATTGCTTATCCGCTCAAATTTGAATATCTAATATCAGTTTTATTAGCCAATTTGTAAACAAATCTTAACAACCCTACACAGGTACACATATGCAAAGTTAAACTACTTTAAAAGATGTAAGAATGTGGATAAACACATACCATTCCTATTCATGGGATACATACACATACACACGTTGTAAATATTTTTTGGAAAACTTAAGCCAAAAACACTTCAAAACAGAGTAGACATACATTAAAGCATTTATAATTAATTTAGTTAACACGTCGTTGGAAACCCTCATTCGGAGACTTAGCATTAGAAAAATCTTCCAAATTAACACTACAATACGTTTTGCGTTGTTTTAGTGGTAAGAACCGCCGTGCAAAGGGTGAAAGTAATGCTGGATCTATTTTTTCCAAATCCGTTGTACCAAATAGTCTAGTTGACACACATGCAACGGCTATCGAAATCATTGCACCAAAAGCAGAATACCACAAAAAAGATAGATGGTATAAATTGCGCTGCTCGAAAGTTGATGGCCTATAAAATTTATTATTTGTTTATTTAAGCAAAGCTTTATTTACTTCATACAAAAACTCACTGATAGTTGTATATGGTATCCCAAGCTGTTGCATTATCGAATTCATATTCACATCCATCAATGGATACTGGCATTTTCGGATAAGCGATTTCCCCTCTCATTTGGGCGATTTGGGCATTAGTACATATCCAACCCAAAACTAAAAAGCCTGTCACACAACCCGTAAGTGCGCTCTTCCCATTGATCCATGGAAAGGAAACGCCCATTGTGTAAACAGCTAAGAGTGGTCCCATTGTGACTGCCCCTGTCATTGTGGCTAACTGTAAAACCATACCAAGTTTCTCAACGACATAAACCAAACCGATGCAAGCTATACCAAAAACAAAAACGATTAAGCGCAATAAAATAGCTGTATGTCGTTCGTTCAACGGTGTCTTAAAGAAGGATGTAATAATATCTTGAGAAATAACACAAGCCAAGGAATTCAACCCAGTAGATAATGAGCTCAACGCTGCGCTGAAAACTCCAGCAACAAAAAGGCCTGTCAAACCAGGTATATCACCCACCGTCTTCATTACGAGTAAAGTTGGCAACTGATCACTAGCCGCAGCAAGCTGCAAATAAACGAATTAGGCTAAGCTAATATAWTACCTTTATACCTACCTTTGTGCTAATTGGATCGCAGTCGTAGTAACTGGCATAGGCTAATAATCCCATATAACAACAACACAACATCAGAAAGATCAGCAGGATATTAAATAAAATGACTGCGTGTTTGGCTTTTTGTAGGGAAGGCAATGCAAGGTAACGTTGGATGCAAATTTGATTGACAGCAGAAGATTGTATCTTATGAAGAGATCCTCCCACAAATACAGCTAACATAGACAAACGTACAGTAGGATCCCAGGTCCAACTATAGCATACAGCAAACATTCAATCTTTACGCCTATATAAAAGAAGTTAGTAGTTTTCCCTTACTCCGGCACATTCAAACGACCGCTCTCTCTATTTCGTTGCAAAACCACATCTAAACCCCCCACATCA